GAAAACCCTAAAAGGATTCGCGCCCATGGTCTATCTGTGAAGAGTTATGACCGTTTTACGGAATTTTGAGCATGCGACTAGGGATTTCCAAAAAATCGAATTAAAGAATTTCGACCTGAAAATGTGCCCATGGATAGGTCTAACAGTCATTAGAATTGCTTGAAAGTTTCAGCCAAAATGAATGTTCCTTTCTCGAGATATTGAAATATCAAAAAATAGTCAGTTTTCACAGACAGGTCACAAAAACCGAGTTTACTTGATAATTCAATATCTCGAGAAAAGAACATTCGTTTTGGCTGAAACTTTCAACCAATTCTAATGACTGTTAGACCTATCCATGGGCAAATTTTCAGGTCGAAATTCTTTGATTCGATTTTTTGGAAATCCCTAGTCGCATGCTCAAAATTCCGTAAAACGGTCATAACTCTTCACAGATAGACCATGGGCGCGAATCCTTTTAGGGTTTTATTAGTCTCATAGAGACCTACCTTATAGCCATAATATGGAATCGAACGGCGTCCGTCAGTTGGGGATCTTCCCTTGCGAGTATATGCCCGAAAGTTTTGCAGCGACCGAATTCCAGAGAAGTGTCATTTTACGTATCTCAAGTTCTGCATGTGGATGTCACGTAAATTCAAGTCCCACATACGTACGTTAGCGTAAGTGTGACGAACTTTTCATTGGACTTGAGATAAATTAAACCTTTTCTGTAGATTTAAGAGCTCTCTATCAGTGTTGGATTCTAACTAGGTATTTCTATTCAATGTTTTCGATGTTTCTCACAGCCTATTCGTATGAAAAGTAGTAAAGAAGGAAAAGAAGGATTTTGGGAGAAAAGAAGGACGAAGAAGGACGATCTAAAAAAAGAAGGAAAGAAGGACCGCTGCGAGGGCTGAATATAGAATTTTAAACAGATTTAAAGGTCATAGAGAATCTATTTTGATAACTGATGTTCTTTACTTTTGATGATGAAGGAATCTCAACAGGTGTCTTCTTTCGATTTCAATGAAAACATCTGGATTCCTATTGAAACTAGACTAAGTTAACAAGTTTTTAATATTTGTTTTTGCTAGATTAATCAAGGTTTTCGGAAAACCCGTCTTTTCGAATGTTATTTTGAAACTTTGCAAACGTAGAGAATTTAATTAGACTAGCATTCTTAAAAAAAATTGCCATTTTTTACATAAAATCCGTCCGAAATATGAAAATTTGAAAAAAAAATCCATGTTATATACACTATTCATGAAAAAGGTTCTATATCTTGAAAGTTTTATATTTCGAACAGACTTTATGCAGCACTCGTGAATTTTTTTAATAAAATCTGGCCTAGTTAGGTTCGCTATATGTACCAAGTTTTAGATCAAGATTTGAAAATACAAGTTTTTCGAAAACTTAGAACTCTAGAACAAGAACATTTTTAAATGATCGACAGCTTAGTCAAATCTCAATAGGAATCCAAATCTTTTCATTGAAACCGGAAGGAGATAACTGAGAAGATTAACTCTCTAGTGTCGAACTGATAACATCATTTGTATAAGCATATTCTATTCTTGAGAATATAATGTAATCTAAACTGATAATAAAATATGAATATTGCAGGTGTCATTATCAACAATACGTTTTTATCTATCGACTAGATTAAAAAAGCTGCTATGAAATGAAAATTATTTGTCTAATCTTCATAGCGAGGGAACTACCCGAACTAATAATCACTATTACAGTTCATATTGGATTCACCAGAAGATTTCGATAAGACTAGAAAAATCCAAAAAGAGTTCATGGCCATGAACGACTGGAGCCAAGCTATGAATATTTTACTGAATTTTTGATTCAGTTGTAAGTATTTACCGAATAATCAAATAACAATATTTCGATCTTCAGTTTCACCCATAAACAGGTCAAATGACTAGTAGAATATTCTGAAATTTTTAACCAAAAAGAATGTCTCTATGTCGAGACATTGAATTTTCAAGTGCACTCAATCTTTGTAGCAAATGACCATTTTTTGAAAATCCGATATTTCGACAAAAGAATATTCTTTTCTGTTGAAACTTTTAGGACTTTTCTAGTCTTGCTAAGACTTCGTGATGAACCCAATATGAATTTCAACAGCCGATATCAGTTCGGGTAGTTCTCTTCTAAGTTAAAATTGGTAAATAAGCCTACACCAATACATTAGACTAAAACAAACCTGACTATTCTCAAAATAAACCAATGTATGTTCAATAACTTCCGACAAAACAAAGCATTTATGAGTATTATAATAGTTCTCAACTGTTAAAAGAATCAAGTACGATTGTAACCGAAGAATAAGCAAAAACATTACAAGCTTGTTCTACAATCATAAATCTTGTCCATTTGATTGTGTTTTATTCCTGCAATAATCTAACGAAAAGTAATTGATAATGATTTAATATGTAATCATAGAACTTTCGTAGTATAGAAAACTAATAACTCTTACAAAAGATTATTTTCTTCTATCGAAGAAAATTATTCATCAATATCAATAATAATACTTACTTAAATATGTTTAAACACTCATATGATGTGATGTTCTAATCATCAATTATTCGATTCTTCTAAGTAATATTTCAAAAATTCAATAAAATGTATACAAAATAATTAAACCTACAATAATCTGCTAAAGCACCCATAGGATCCCATGCTTCTAAAATAATTGCTTCTTGATCAAGAACAGCAAGAACTTCTTTTGAAAGATATTTTTTATCGACAACAACTTCATATAAATATTCATTAAACCAATCATCAGTCATAACAACATAACCTTTATCAGCTTTATCATCACCATGTGAATTTTCTACACGATATCGAATAAATTGTAAATCATCAGGTTGACTTTCTTCATCATCAGATGTTTTTGTTTTATTGTTTATTTCATTTGATGAACGTTTTTCAACATGAACGCCTGTAAATACCATAGCATGTGTCATTAATGATTCACCATATTCTAATCGTGATGCTTTATTTTGACATGGAAAACTTGAATCAAAATAAAGTTGAGTATCAAATATTTTTAAATCAAGTATTCCATATTTAGCATGCATATGTTTACCAAAATCAACACCAAACCAAACAGCCTATTTAATAAGAGATAAAGAAAAACATCAAAGTATTATTAAGAATATTCGTACTTCATCAGCAGCAATTGAATCATATACGGCTTGTTTAAGTACTCGAATAGGTTGATTGTTGTATAAAGTATTTCGACCACCAACAATATTTCCAAGATATTCAACCGTATATAAACGTTCATATGGATGTGAAACTCGAGGATCATGTACAAGACATACCTGGTAAAAAAAAACAAACGAGAAGGTAATGTAGATTTTTATTCTGAGAAATTTTTTCTTAGGTATGGAATCCTTGAAATTTTTTAAACATTTTGAAATCAGAGCTATGTGTATCTTGTAGACCTTAATAAGCTATGAATAATCTGAGAAGTTTCGATCGTTAGCTTATTGCTACGATGACATGATATTCTTTTTAAGATAGGAGTAAATCAGAAGACTTGAAACTTTCATAATATACTAGTCTTATTACGACTAGTCTCAGTGCAAAGCTTCAAGTCAAAATTCGAAAATAAATTTTTCTGATGTTTGTGATGAAAAACCATGGCATTGAGTTTTAAAAAAATATCATCAAAATGAGATATTTCCGCAATAATAAGTTGAGAATCTGAAGTTCTTATTAAATTATTCATAGTTTATTAGGCCCACCAAAATGCACTTAGTTCTGGCTCAAAAGTGATTCGTCAACAAGAAGACTTACCTCATTTGATCATTCAATTTACATACATAATTCAGCGAGGAAATTATAATTTTGTGTAAAACAAAAAAGTTGTAGTTTGAGATATCTTTAGTAACGAACATTTCCGCAGATTATTAAATCATATTTATATGAATTATTTAACTAATGACTGCCTCATTATACTTTTATATATAAAAAAATCTAATATATTTTGTGCTCAAAATGTTCATAACGCTAAGTTTCTCGTACCGATACTAATACACGTCTATTTTTGACCATTCAATCTTTCGTCATGAGAAAGCTCTAACAATCTTTGATTACTCATTTAGATAATAAATAGGTGGATTATATCTGAGTAAAACTAATCAGGTCTAGTTCCAATTTTAATTGAAGGTTTATCCCAAACTCAGCTAGTTGAGAGCGGAAAATAATTCTATACTATTGTCTGTTGTCTTGCAATCTATTTAGTATTCTATTGTAAAACTTCCTGAAAGTTCATTCAGTTGTAAATAAAGATTAATTCTTTTGATTTGGTCTCTATTTCTTACAAATATAAGTGAGAGATAAAAGTGTCGTTCCATTATTTGTTTTAAAACAACATTAAATGAGTTCAGTCTCTCTGTCTTCAACTTTAATTATAAATTCAAAATTTATCTTATTAAGCATTATAAAATTGATCGATTATTTCATTTTGAATTACTTTATTATCCACATTAAAGACTGGTTTAACAATTTGCCTATAAAATTCAATTGGACTAATTGGACCAATTTTTTGATACTGTTTTGAACTATCATAATATTCAAATGTGATCTGTTCTGGTGGTGAACCAAGACATGTCGTAATAATTCGATGAAGCTAAAACGGAATGTGTAATTTAATATTATATAAAAAAAACCATGAAACTTACTTCTTTCATCATTTCAGCCTCACGATTCATCAAATCACTATCGTTGGTATTTCCTTTTTCAACTGATTCAAAAATTTCTTGAGCAAATGCACGTAACTATTAGGAATATAAAAGATACATTGCCATTAATTATATTGTTATTAAATAAATATACTTTAGTACGAAGAAATTTATTCATTTGAAGAGCTGCTTCAGATGATGAACTTTCAGGAAAAGTATTTTTTGGTATCACACCATATTTATTTATTAAATTAACCAACATATCCCATTGACCTTATTTCATTAAATTAAAATGAAGTTTTCGTATTTTGATGAAATGATTTAAATTTAGATGTGTTTACCTCCATCAATGAGTAATTCTTGTAGAAGATATTGCACAAGTCGACCATGTACTGGTTCCTTCTTTTTTGCTAATTGAATCATTGACATAAGAAAATAATGACATCGCTCAATCTAGATTAAAACATTAACATTTATATTTATTAAAACAGTAAGACAAATCGACAAACTTTATCATAATAAAAAAGATAGTTTTGACTGAATTCTAGTTCTTGAATTTTAAGTGATTTCATCAATTGAATTCGCATTACATTTAAACCAGCAAATATCCAACAGCGACCTGAAGCTTTTTGATTTGTTACAGGACGGCCTTCGACCGATAGCTAAAACAAAAAAAAGACATGATTTTCGATAAAAATTAAATAATTTTAAATCATACAACACATCAGAAATGAAATCGGTCTGACTAGGGCATATCGGATTCGTCGTGATCAATACCGATTCCATCTCTACAACGCATGGCATAATAAGAAAATGTACTCTCCGCATATTTAACATTTCTGGTTTCTGCTAAACTCAGTCTTAAGGATGAACTTCCTTAACTGATTAATCGCTTTTGAGTTGGAAGCATGTACTTTAGGTAGATCTCAATAGATTATAAATATTCCAAAAAGAGTTTGTGCATATAACTTATTGTTGCCGACATATTGTATTTTTAAAATATTTTTCAATATTATGCTATGTTTCCCCTCCAAGACAGCAGGTTTGCGGATTTCTACTTGAAATGTTATATAGAAACAAGCCTTCAGGAGAATAGTTAATCGTGAAAGTATCAGACTATTTGATCTGTTTATATTCTAAAATAAGGATATCGAATCTGCAAGTATAAATGAACGATGTAAAAGATGCGCTTTTATCATAGTTGTATCTTAGAATAGGAACAACGAAAATATCTGAAATTTTTACAATAAACTATTCTCGCTAAAGTTTGTTTCTACACAAAATTCTAAGTTGAAATTCGAAAATAAGTTTTTTTGAAGGTCAGAATATTCATAGCCTATTAGGATTTACATAATGCACATAGTGCCAATTTAATCTCAATAAATAAGTTGAAGGATTTCCTTCGTTAGCCAAAATTCTTCATTCAACATTGAACTCATACATATGTACTAAAAATCTATAGTAAATGTAACGTTCGTTTTTTTCATAGTTGACGTAAATCGAGATATTCTCAAAGTTCAAAATTTATTTAGGAACTTTTATACAGCTCATAAATCAAACTCAGCCGTAGAGATGCCCAATTCCAATTCTTAGAATAGGTCGGAATTGGTTTGCACTGGAGTTGGAATTGGTTTGGGATTGGTTTAAAAAATTTCGAACTCCCTATGAACTTATCTGTGTTTACTCTAAATCAGTAATTCTACAAAAACCAATTCCGAACAATTCCAATTCCAAGCCAAGAATTGAAATTGGAATTAGTTCATTCCTACTCAATCGAATCACAAAGACGGCTAACAAGTAAAGATTTCCAAGTAACTTACACTAAGTGAATTAATCTTGTATTTAAGGTGTTAGTGAAACTAGTCAAAGTCTGAAAGAACAAAGACCTTCGAGTATTTCTTGACAACATTATAGCTGTTGTAACGAGTTTGTAGTGTCTAAGAAAAACATTGATGGAGACATTTCAAGATCAATTTTCGAACTGGTATTGTCTTCATATGCATGCATAACCACCTTTAGAAGATCCTGAGAATTTCTACCAAAACCAATGCTTCCTTTTTTTTTCGAGATATTGAATTTTCAAATATCACCCATATTTCATAAGAAGATTAGGAAAAACAATTATTGCAAGAAAATTCTGTCTCTTGAGAAAGAAGTATCGATTTTTACAGCCATAACTTTAGAAAGAAGACCGAAAGATTAGCTTAATCGTTATTGTTCAGTTACAAACCTAATTCTCATAAGATTAATGTTAAAATTAAAATTTATATGCGCGACACACCAATTCTAGAAGGTTTAGCAGTTGGTTCTTTACATTGTTCATGACTTTTCTACTCAGTAGAGTAAAAATATTTCATCCGATATACACACATTAAATATATTGAAGGTGAGACTGACTGAATAACTTTTTAAATGTCACGGAATTTTTTAGATGACATTTCAAGATGTGAACTCACTGATGAGTAGGCCCAAAGTAACGAAGAAAAATAAATCTGACGTTTTTGCTAAACTATTTTGAACAAACCTTGTTTCTAATAATAAATTAAGTTCAAGTGAAATGAGCTCATCCAAAAGTTTATTGTGTCCTCGAAAAAAATTGAGTCTACATTACTCATAATTGTTCAGTAGACATTTAAATATCGGATTTAAATAAATTTCATCTAATATCTAATATCGCTAAATCCTCAAAACAACTATATTGAACTTTATAAATTTTAATCATAAATTGTGTGAAATATATCTCTGAATAAAATCATCATGTACTTGAAATATTTAAAAGCAACGCTTGCAATAATTAGCTATTTCGTAGATGTTTCTAGAATGATTTTTTTTTGTTTCTAACAATTCTACATTTGACGCTGAATTTGCACTTTAAATAAAATAAACGTTTGTTTTTATAGACTTAACATTTTGAAATAATCTTCCTAGAAGATAAAGAAAAATTCTCTCTGTTTATACCTTTGTATTGAATACATGAACTGATGAAAAACGTGTTTGTCGATTGACAATAATATCTGTAAGTGATTGTTGACAACATGCCGATTGAGCCACGAGATTTCTTTTGTCTTTTTGATAATCTTCACGAAGATTTTTCAATTGGTCAAAAGATAAAATAGCTTAAATGATTATTTAAAAAATAGTAAATCAATATTTAAAAAAAACTCCATGTCATACCTTTTGTATTCTCTTTCGACATTTTGATCGGGTGGCTATTGTTTTCTCAATTAAAAGATATAAATAAAGAAAGCCAAACAGATCTCGAAATTTCCTACGATTCGTTGAAACATTGGACGAATCATAAAAAAAACGCTTTTGTCTATTGATTTGCTATACAGTTGCACGTATCATATTTGACATTTGGAGAAGTTGATTATGGAAAGAATGTTTGCAATAGTCATGATAGATTTTTTTTTTCTTTTTCTTCAATGAAAAAAAAAAAGCTTCGTGAATTTTTTTCATTCAACAATGTAGGTTTTTTTTTTCTTTGATATAGAGTGTGGTTAGTTACTATTTAAAAAATAAATAAATACCGAGGTCATCATGCAAGAATGGAAAGAAAAAAAAACAAGTAATATTAATTTTTTTTTCTATTTTATATTTAGTATTGAATATTTAAAAGCATTATTTATTTTTTGTTATTATTGACCGTTAGGTCTATCTTTTTTTTTTTTTTTTGTTCTTCTGTCCATTCATTTTTCAGTCTCGAAAAACGAAACACACATCGAGCGTTTCAAATTTCGGCTCTATCCGCCTATACTCAGACAGACAGAACGAAAACGATGAACAATATATATACGTAAAGAATTGGTTGGGGTGGAGAAAAAAAAAAGAACACGACGCGCGTACTAAGAGGTTCATCGTTTACTTTCGTCTGGCCATTAGTATTACTACTACTGCGTACACCAACTTAATCGGACTGAATATTCGTGTTGTTCGTTTGTCGTCGGTTTTTTTTTCTCTCTTTTTGATTTGATGATATATTGTCCTTGTTACACAGTCTTTATGCTGATAGATAATGGCACATGTTTTTTTTTTTTATTATTGATTCTACCATACTGATGAAGCAGTAAAAACAACTCGTTTTTTTCTATCTGCGATAGTTATTAATCTCTCTTTTTGTTATTAACAACATCAAGAATTGTAGGCGCTTATATTCTCTTATACGCATATCTCCTTGCTTTCTTCCGCCCAAAAGAAACTATGTCAACGAATCCGGTCGAACGTGTATATATGTATGTTTAACGAACATGCTATTCGATAGATTTAATTTGTGTTTCGTAAATAGACAGTCTTAGTTGTGATACGAATCAGCTGCTTATGTGTTAAGAAAAGAACCTTTATACATGTATTTAATAATGAACCTTGCAGGACGAGGTTCATCAAAATTGATTGATGACAATCGTCGTAGGCATGATAGAACTACTACTATATATTCTCTATCCAATACACACACACCGCCAGAGCTTGGTTACGTAAACAGTATTGACGCTCGAAAAAGAACGTTCGCTGTGTATGGATGAGGCAAGATTGATCGGGAGTGACGACGACCTTTTTCTTCTTTTTACTTTTTTTCCTCTGTCGTATGTCCCAACAAGAATTTCTTTGTTGTCTTCTTTTTTTTTTGTATATCATATTTTGCTTTATTTTCTTTGTAGATCTTTCTGTATATATGCTGTCGTTGATTAAGAATAATTATTATAATCAGTATGCACGGTGACATTGAACATGTCCGAAGCAGATCTTCTTCAACCAGGAAATATAGTTCGAGAACGATGGAAAGTTGTAAGTAAATTAACATTTCTTATTCAACAGAAAACAAAAGAATGCAAAGAAATCTCGAAATATAATATAGAATTTTTTAAAATTGAACTATTGTATTACAGAAAGAAAAAAAAGTAACTTTCAACCCTAGATAAAAAAGAATTTTTTTTTCTTCTCTTTCGTTCTGTAATGATTTCTATAGTGACATTGTACTACTTTTTTTTCTAATCCTTTTTCGTTAATCTAGACTACTAAAATTGGTGGTGGTGGCTTTGGTCAGATCTATGAAGCCTATGATCTTGTTACCAAAGAGAATGTTGCACTCAAACTTGAATCAGCTAAACAAGCTAAACAAGTACTTAAAATGGAAGTAACAGTTTTACGTCGTTTACAAGGGAAAGATCATGTATGCAAGTTTTTGGGTGGTGGAACAAATGAATTATATAATTATGTTGTTATGACTTTACAAGGAAAAAATTTAGCTGAATTACGTCGTAGTCAAACACGACAATGTTTTAGTTTATCAACATCATTACGTATTAGTATACAAATTCTTCAAGCTATTGAATCTATACATTCAATTGGTTTTTTACATCGTGATGTAAAACCATCAAATTTTTCCATGGGACGTTTACCAATAACATGTCGAAAAGTTTTTATGTTAGATTTTGGTCTTGCAAGAAAATATACAAATGCTGAAGGTGGTGTTCGTGCAGCTCGACCACAAGCTGGCTTTCGTGGAACTGTACGATATGCATCAATAAATGCACATAAAAATAAGGTTTAATTAACGAAACAAAAAAAAGAATTTTTAATATTTTTTGTGTTTTATTCTTGTTAGGAAATGGGTCGACATGATGATTTATGGAGTTTATTTTATATGCTTATTGAATTTGTGACAGGACAATTACCATGGAGAAGAATAAAAGATAAAGAACAAGTTGGACAAATGAAAGAGAAATATGACCATGCAATTTTTTTAAAAAGTCTTCCATCAGAATTTAAAGTAAAACTAAGAGAAGAAAAAATTCTTTTTAAATACAATTTTGTTTTCTTTTTTATTGTCTTAGCAATTTCTTGAACATATACAAGCCTTACATTATGAAGATAAACCTGATTATGAATTTTTACAAAATTTATTTCGTACATCAATAGCTCGACGTGCATATAAAGAATCAGATTTATATGATTGGGAAAAAGAATCAAATGGTATTGATGATGAATCATTAACACCAAACTCAGCCTTACAACAGCAACAACAACCTCAACAACAACCTGTTTTAACTAGTATCAATAATAAAGTTTCAACGTATGTAAAATTTTTAACAAAAATAATTTTGTGAAATACAATCTAAAAGAACTGTCGAAGTATACAGAGTAGAAATTTGCATTCTCTACAGATTGTGATAGATATAGTTCCCTACGATCATCACAGACTATGACAGACGATCTCCAGAGACCATCATAAACGTTGTAGATATATGATCACAGACCATATATCAATAACTGCTAGTTACAGTGCATTGAGAATTTTCTTACTGTATTTCTGGAAGATTAAGTCAAGAAGGATGCAAAAATGTGTCCCAAGATATATAGAATAAAACAAACACTATGATTAATGATAGCGGCTACATTGTGTTTCACATTCCATGAAAATTTGCACTAATTGTTTTTTTTAATTCTAGAGAAATGACAAAAGCTATATTAACAGCTCAACCAGGTGGTGCTAGTACGACAATGAATCTTCGTCAACAAGCTACAGAAGCTGATACATTTGATGAACGCTGGAAACTTTCAAATGGTGGTGGAAGACAAAGTGGTGTTGCATCTGATCATTCACCATTTTCACCACGACGTAACATTCCAAAAAGTCTTGATAGAAATTCACGACGTGCCTATGCATCATCACCTGCTGCTGCACCAGCTATTACAAATCCACAACAAACAGCAAATACAACAGATAAAGATATTTCAATTTCAAAAAAACAATCCATATCACAACAACGTACACCACTTACAGCTACTCCTATTGATAATAATAATAATAATAATACTAATAAAGAAACATGGAAAACAGTTGGTAGTACACCAGCACAAATATCGGATTCATCACAACGTTTAAGACGAACAACATCAAAATCAACTGTTGGTGAACCATTGACACCAACAAGTAAATTACCTAATGGAAAATCTACTGGTAAAGAAGATTCACCAGCTAGTGTATCATATTCTGATTCAGGTAAACCAAGAACTGGTACTGTTCTATCAACATTAAATCGTTCGCATCAATTAAAAAGTACCGAACGTCTTACTGATCATCAACCAAATAGTTCAACTATATTACCCAATGTTGATGAAACACCTTCGCCAGGCATAAATTCAATTCCTAATATAATCCATACATCTGCCGGTGGTACTGAACATGGCAAACCACCTAAAACACCACGTTCAACTCGAACAACAAATAGTCGTAGTGATGCATTAGCACCAACAAGACAATTAACAGCACGTACAGGTGATAGTGAAGCTGTTTCAATACCGGCTGCAACATATGCAATTAAAGCTGGACCTCAAACAGTTATGTCACAATGGATGATATCATTAGATGATAATCTTGATGATGAAGGTAGTGATAATCAACATAGTGCTAAATGGGAAGATGCACAAGAAAAACTTCAGAGGTTAGTTTAAAAAAAAAAATTTTTAATATTAAAAAAGAAAATTATTTTTATTTTTATTTTTATATTAAGATATGTTTGTAATCAGTTAATATATGGATCTCGAATATTATCGAGAACGAATTCTTGTGTGTTTTAAAAGAAATAAAGAAAAAAAAGAAGAGTATCTTCTATTTTCTTGCTAAAAAACAAAAAAAAAATGAGACTTAACTAAAAACTTGCTTCATATGACTGTTTTGAATAAGCCGTAAAACTTTGTCTAGCCTGAACCGACAAAAAACATTTTTTTTTCATTTATTTTTTTAACAAATGTTTAATTGATTTTCGTCTTTTTTGTTGTTGTTTATTTAGTACCACACATGATCCATCACAATATCAGCCAGCACAAGCTCAATTGCCATCATCATCATTATTACCCACAGGTAATATTGTATCATCATCACCGCCGCCGCCACCTCCATCATCATCACCTCCTGTGAATAATCCTCTTTCTCCATCCACAATGAACAGTCAACAAATATCACAAACAATAATACCAACAATAGCTGTTAATAATATTCAACAAACACCATCATCAACAAATCCTATAGCCTATGCTACTATTTTGAACAGTAATAGTTCAGGTTTGGGAACATCAACAAATAATAATGTATTAACACCAACTACAACAAGCATTATTAATGGTGGTCGTCAACAACAGTATCATCGACCATTATTAAGAGGTACGGAAGAAATTTCAAACACTGGCACATTGAAC